AGAACGAATTCTTAATGCACTAAGACAGATCTTTTACATAGTATCTGGACTCTGTAGCTGATCAATGGCAAAATTAATGCAACAGGAGCCCTTGTAATTAAGCACTGTCTACATAACTATACGTTTTCCAGATAGTAATAGAAATGACGGACTAATGGGCAAGCCAACTCAGAGTGAGGACCGAATTGAAGGTTGTTCTAAGAAGGACGGTAAAGAATGGACTTATTTGTATGCACTTCTGTCCATCTTGCTTAACCTGTTTCATGATTTTAAGCTCAAAAAACACAACAAACTGAGTTTCTGGCTAACTTTTATGATAAATGACAGAGATTAGATTTGCCCTTCCAGGGGTTTGAGAATAGTATACTGGTTCATGATCATAGAAACTTCATTTACCACAGAAACTATTATAGGAGTCTGTTCCACCAAGGAAATTTTCATGATTCTGCTTTATTTTTTAACAAATATCAGGCATTATACAAGTTAAAGTACTAGCTAATTGCTTTATCTATTCGTGATTTCTGGACTTTGCTGTCTGAACCTCCAAGATTGCCATACCACAGCATACAGCCAGAATCTTGCCATTTGACAGTACTAAAGAATATCCCAAACTTGTCCAATCGTATCACGATCATTCGATCAAGACAGTAACCCTTTTGGGAGTGCAGATAGGGAAAACTCCTGCACAGAGAGCCTGCAAGTGTAGTGACTCAAGAAGGAAGATGAAAAAGTTCTTTTCAAGAGCGACCATATTACATGTAGAACTTTTCACCTTTGAACTCATAACTGGGTAAACATACCATTACTTCAAGGCTCCTCCAGAAGATTCTGCAATGTGCATTAATTCAGTTAACAAGTTCTGTTCTACATTAAGTTCAGCATTCCATAAGTTAAAACCAAAAGTATTCAGGGAATTAGGACAGCTGGTGCTAAAGGCATGTTACTACTAAGCTTTGCATTTCAGAAATGAGAAATGATAAGACAATAAGACCTTAATTCCTGAGAAAATAGTTCAAAAACTCACTGGAGTAACTTGCTGCTTTTAGATAACGTTCATTTTCTATTTCCCTTGTAGATATCAACAAACTTTACGTCATATATAAGTGTTGCATTTCCAGGTATGTTGCAATCCCCTGAAGAAATCAAGATAACTGGCTTTAGGATTAAGACAGGTACTTCTAGCATGAACCAGTGACAACGGTAATTTATTCAGAGGCTACAAATAGATCTGTTCTGGTTTTGTATTATGTCTTAAATCTGTTTGTCATTAATATGGGAAGTAGGAAGATAAATATATAGATCTGCCTTGTTATTGCTGGAGGATTTTTCAAAGTAAAGCCCACAAGCTTAGAAAATTAATATCTTCTGGATGCTTTAGCTAATTCTAAGTCATGAGATTGGCTATTCTAACGACTTCTCGTGTCTATCATATTAGTCATTTAAATCCCACCTGAGAAGCAGCCAGCTGGTTCTGGTCCATATGCCAATCGTGGAGGAATTTGAAGCTTGCGTTTTCCACCTATGGAAAATGTCAAAATGAATAACCCTAAAGATAGAAATAGCACATTAAACAAGCAAATGGCTTACCAACTTGCATTGGAGGGACTCCTTCACCTCCCAAGATTCCTTGATCCAGTCCCTTTATTACCTAACAAAAACAGATTTTTTTGACCAAGGAAGACGTAGAAATCAAACTTCAATTTTGTATAGAGTAATTTTCCAAGAATCTTAAACTTTTCTTAACAAGATCTACATCTTACTGGAGATAATCTACAGTCAGAGGTAAAAATGGAAAAAATGAAAATTTTGCATGGATGCTGAAGGAGAAGATTTCTACTGAGGGACAATGATGAAATTATAACCTCTCCCTCTCTCTCTCATTCAGATGCACAAGAGCTTCAAAGAATGCTGCAACTGTTTGCCCATCGTGATAGCAGATGCATTTTGTAACAGTGTAAAAGGCCTGTTTGAAGCCATTTCGTGATAGAGGCCCCGACTTTCTTTGGCACTAAGCCATGGTGACTCTTCTTAATGCCTGTTGTTTCTATGTGAATCATGTATCTTAGTGAGTTGCTAAGCTATAGCCTTTATGCCTAAGCCAAGAAGTTAAACTCTGGTTTATTTTCCTTGCAAACTAACTGGTAAAAGACCTTGCAAACATAGCTATGCCACTGACACAAAATCCCTAACTAAACCGTACAATGTTACACACTTGATCAATGCAGTAGGTGCTATGGAGCACCTTTATTTCCTTCTATGCATGCTGAAGTGCATATGGGCATCAGTCAGCAGTAAAATAATTTATACGTACCATCTGCATGTAATTTGTTCTTCTGAAATATATGCAGGTAATGCTTAACAACAGCACTACCAGGCTTTCTTATTATGCATCAACAGAAGCAATGTAATAAAGCAGAAAGATGCATCAATTATACTTGAGAAGGAAAGAATTTGCAAACCTTGCCCACACCAATGCGCATAGTTAGGGGTCTACCACGTTTGTAGCTACTATCAAAAACTATCCCATCATCAAACCTTGCAGTGTAGTGAACCTGTCGGAAAAAGCAACATTACAGTGAGAAAATGGTAGATATTTATCAGTTCTACTTTTTGTCCCTTCTCTCTTTTATGATAATTTCACTAGAAATTATGATAGACCAAAGGATAAATAAAAATTTCAATCACAATGAAAAAGGAAAAAAAAAATGCACTTGGACCAGTAGAGAAAGGAGAACATGGTTATTGACACCATGCTCTTAAGAGTTTAACTTTGAAAGGCCGTTGCTCCTTACTGATTATCCTGGAAGCTACTGAAAACCAACACATGATGAATCTTTTCAGAGAAAATAAGTGAAAAGGGCTAGCTTTCAAGGATTAAAGAAAATGAGGTGCTTAATTTTGCTATTAACTATTAATGCATACACATTGATTGAGAGAAAATACCCCTCATTAGAATTAGCCCAACCTTGCGCCCTAATTCTCCAAGGCATTTTCACCGACTTTCCCATCTTCTTAGCAACACAATGCAGAGAAAAACACTTGACATTGTCAGGACTCTCTGAATTACTATTTCACTCAATTCCCCAGACCATAGATTGTCCAGCATGAATTTAAGCACCCTTCAAATAAAAAAAAATCACCCTCTAGTGTTTGGTCAAATTCTCCCCTCTCCAAATAATCAGTGCTGAACCAATCATCAGAACCCAAATCAAGAAGCAGCTCCAATTCAAAGCCTTTCTCAAAAAAAAAGGAGTCAGCTCACATGTACATCAATACAAGACCGAAGTTAAACTGTAAAGAACTCACATTGATAAGTTCACCACGAGGGGCCTCAGGGCCAGAACCAACGGCAATATCACAGTAACCAAGACCTGAGCGAGCATAACTGAACTCACAAGGGGGATCAGCTGTGGTGGCATAGTACTCAATTCTGGTTGCATTTGCATCCAATGGTGTTGAACTCACAACTGAAGCAGCTAAAAGTCCCAACCCCACTTGGCATATCTGCTTCTTGCTGATAAGAGTGGTTGAATTCAGTGAATTTGACGATGCTAATGCAGTTACTCTGAAGGTAGCAGATGTGGGTTTGGGTCTGAAGGCTTGGTAATTGGGATTTGGTGTCACAATGGCTGGACTTAGTGTCGAGACCGCCATTTTTTCTATCTGCTTGCAACTGAATTTCAATTTTGATAGTGGATGGTTTTAGTGAGTGATGCGTGGGCCTTGTTGGATGTGTTGGATATGGTCAGTATTAGAGAGCAAAAAGGCAAAGTAATAGCAAGACATTTTTCCCCTCCACGGATAAAGAAATTGAGGGAGTCATGGGACGGATTTGAGACGGGAACGGTTGCAGGAAGCAGTCGTTCGAAAGGTTGATGGTCAAGATTTGATAAAAAAAAATGTAAGGTTCAAATTTCATTTTATATATTATTTTTCACATTATGTGTAGGGTTCACAAAATTTTATTTTATAGTTACACGTTACGCAAAGTGAATTACATCGTGTGTAAACTGAATTACATTTTGTACAAAATGCACAAAATCGCTCATGACGGTTTCTCTATTGATCGTTCCTGCCCCAAATCCGATATGGGACCATTTTAACAAGAAAGTTGCCGAGTTAAAATAAAAGGAAATGTTAATGACTCTCAACAATATAATACGATTTTTGGCTATCATCCAATACAATTTGTTTGACAAAAAAAAATGCACTAATAGTAAAAAATTAGTATAAAAAAGGCATAAAATATGTCACTAATATAAATGATCTAAAAATCACTAAATTTAACAAAATTACAAAATAAGAAAAATTTTATTATAAATCACAAACCATCTTATAGGTGACTGTAAATTGAATCAACAATGGGATTCTTTTTGCGTTATTAACCGGATCACACATAGTGCCATTTACAAGACTGTCATTATCATTTCTTTTGTGTATTTCCAACCCGGTTTACTCTTGTTTGTTAAATTGGTTGCTAGCAGTGAATTGAATCAATCTGTTGCTTTATTTGTAGTTTTGCTCGCTTAATTGGTTCCTTTTTACTCTTTTCATCCTATAGATATACACATGAATTTGGTAGCGTTTTAATAATTACCTTTCGAATGTTGATATGTATATATATACACATGATACAGCTACCCATGTTAGAAGTTAGAACCTGTAATCTGTGTCAACCGATTGCACCAAATTGGTACCTTATTCTTCCCGAGGTAAAGATGTTACATGTCATTGTAGCATAAGTCGTGAGTATTTTCCGGTTACAAAACTAATTCAAAACAAACTCCACCACCCTTCAAGATGACACGTATCATTAATCTTCCAGAATCACCACCAAGCTTTCCTAGGCGACAGGGTCAACCAATTTGTTCAATAGCTCTTCTTCCTCCTCCTTTCTCCCCCATTCTGTACCTTCTGATATATTGATAACAATTAGGAACGATTTTTTGAAATTCTTGACCTTAAAGCTGTGGAACATAGTCCCTAGATTAAGCTTAACAATGGGACGTGTTAAGCTTCCAATATCAAGAATTGTAAATAACACAAATAGACAAGTAACATTTTCCAAACGTAGGAATGGAATCCTTAAAAAGGCTTATGAACTTGCTGTTTTATGTGACATTGACATAGCCCTTTTCATGGTATCTCCTTCTGGCCGCATTAGCTACTTCTCAGGCACCAAAAGGAATTATGTAATTCATACAAGAGATTTTCATGCATTTTCTTAATGGAGAATTACTTATAATTTTTTTTTTCTCAATTGTTGGCTACAGAATTGAAGACGTAATGTTACAATATTTCAATCTGAAGGATGAGGAAAGAGAATCGGATCATGATTCAGAAGGGTATTTTTTTTTTAATTTATTTTTCTACCTTCATTTCATTATTGTTGTGGTTAATATGTTCTCTTGTTCCTTTTTTGTATTTTTTCCCCTTGATGAGCAATAATGCGATGCAATGTTCTTTTCCAAATTTGCAGCATTGTTCACGATAAAGAGGTAAGGCAAATCTTAATTTTCAATGATACTTATAAATTTGGACGAGAGAGAACAAGAAGCTCAAACTTAAATGTTGCACCTACTATATATTGCAGTATGTAATAAGCACCTTAATGAGACTCAAATCTGAAGATGCTGCAGCTCAAAGGTCGTTTTCTGATCCTTTAATCCCTTAATATGGAATGTTTTTGCTTTATTTTCCTTTTGTATGAATACCTTTCTCAGTTGGGATGGTATTGTTTGATAATTCTGATGTCAGTACTGTCTTGGATCAGCTCTGAAGTTCTAAGCGCACAATCACAGGTAAAAAGGCAGAGTTCATAAGCTTGGAATTTAGCTGCAGTCTTCCTTAATTGAGGCCTTGCTTTTATAGTAATGAGTATCTTTTTTTGTTTTGTTTTGTTTGTCTTTAGGAATATAAACAAGAAATTATGAACTTGCAGCATCAACTTGAAATAGCCAAGGAACAGCTAAGGCAAGTTAGGAAATTGATTATTCTAAGGAGACTTAATTACTACTTAGATTCTGTCAATTTATGATTTATTTAGCTTAATACATCTAAGAATTTTAGGCATCAAGGCTTAGAGTTTCTAAATAACTCTCTTTTTTTTTATGTTAAATTCGAAGATTACTGGAACCAGACCCACAAAAATTTACATCGTTAGGCGAAATTGAGTCATCTGAAGAGCGCCTTTCAGAAGCATTGAACCTTGTAGAGAAAAGGAAGGTAAAATCAGCATCCCATTTCCCATAAGAAGTCCTCTATCTCTTCCTACATTGTGGTTGACAAGTCCTATATGCAAAATATATGATTTTACATTTTTCGTATATTTCTTGTTTTAGAGGCATTTATTGACCGACCACTCTTCAAGTTATCAAGAAACTGTTGAGGTAAGTCCACAGCTTTTTCCGTATATGATTCTGCATGCTTTTGGATTCCATATTGTGATATTGATGATCATTTCTTTCTTTGGATTCAATCAACTTCTTTTAACCAGTGCCAATAAAGTTTAATACCCTTTAAATTTTTGTTATGCTGATTGCAGCAAATAAACTCAGTGGTTCAGTATATAATCAATGCACAAGTAGAGGGAAACAGATCTCTTGAGAACTCGGAATTTAGTTCTTGGCTTGATCAGCATGGCCATAAAACAGACGCCAATGGTTCAAATTGTGTGTCTGTTGGACCTGATGAGGCATCTTTTATTCTTATTAGGTTTGGACTTTTTTTGCCTATCAATTTGACACAAATCCTGTTTTGCTACTCTTGTTAGCAAGCAGAATTTGACTTTTGACATATAATCCATTCTTAGGAATCAGTCATCACCACAAGTTCAGAATTCGATGTGCCACACGAGTCAAAATGAAGAAGGGTATCACTTTAGCAGCTTGAATCATGACTGCCCTCCACAATGGCATGGCTCAGTTGAAATATTTCAACCTCCTTTATCACAAGAAACTTCAGTCTCTCTTGTAAGGGCTCTCATTCTTTGAACCATTTATGCTATCATTGAAATTGCAGTGGTACAAATTTGACAATATCATAAAATCTAAGAAGTTCACATGGCTTGGCCAAAAACATTTGTAAAACTGACAAGTAAACATAGCTAATGTGTGTTGATGGAGCTATGGCTTAACACCATTAAAATCACTTGAATTTACGGTACAAATGAAGCAACTTTATTTGTTTATTTTTTTCCTCTGTATCATTGGATGTAAAATTGATTGAACTTCAATTTCATTAACCCTTGTATATAACTTGACAGATTCTAAACCTTAGCAACCAGCAAAATATTAATGAGACGTTATGAATCTGAGAATCATTTCACGAATGAACAATGGAAAAACCATGGAGTTGAAGATCTCCTCATTCTTCTATTCTAAATGATCATGATTAAAGATCATAAAATTCATTAATTATAAATAATATGTTATGCACCCATAAAAGGGAGATCCATCCTATGTTGTCACCTTTCCCGTGAAGCTAAGAACTTGTTTCTGAAATTGTGCTCAAGTATCAAACTTGTATTACTTTTGCTGGTATTAGATTAAATCAAGAAGTATCAAAACTGGGGATTTGCTGCTAATGTGATTTCATATATATATCTTATGCCAGAATGGGATTTCGAGTACCAGTGCCATCTCCATGACACCACCATCTCAGCATTCTAAATTTGCATCAACTTGTCAACCGCTGCGTAGTGAAGAAGCTGCAAATTACGAAACTATGGAATGAATATTTTTTTTTCTGTCTCCAAAGGTTTATCTGTTAAAGATTTAGGCAAGAAGAAACACATTAGCTTTTCTTCTTTGGATTTTGATGCAACAGTTTCAGATGAGCCTTTTTGCCCGCCAAAAAATATATATATATATATATGGTATAACGTTTCCAATCCAAAACAGCATGTTGAAAAAGTTCAATGCTGTAATTGCGAAGGTAAAAGTGGTTCAAGCTCAAACCATGATAGAGATGGTTTGCCCTTTTCAGTAGAACCGGATAGAATTTGCTTCTCCGAAGGCATATTTAAACTTGTTTCTTAGTCTGAGAACATGATAATCCATCAATATAACTATGCACATAATATCTCTTTCTTTCTTTCTTTCTTTTGTCTCCCTATATTTGGTGATGCCATCTATAGTGATAATTATTGATGAATAAAAGCTTTTATTTCTTTTTGTTGCTCAAGAATGTACTATTGTTGCCTATACTAGGTAATATTGGTACTTTTTTTTTTATTGGCCATAAATGTTGTACCATTAATATCATCTTTTTTTCTTAAAAGTTTATACCTTTGTAAAAGTAAAATTGATAAACAAGTATCTAAATACTTCATTACACTTGTTTTTGTTTTGAAAATGTACATCTTGTTAACTTCTTTTGGCATATCCTTTCAACAGCAAATGGATCTTAGTTCTACTCTTTACAAGGAAAAAAAAAATATTGCATATCATCAAATAAGGTTGTTGTTTCCACTTCAACCTTCACTATGTGTAAATATGATTTAAACAACCCTCATTGTGTTCATGACTCTATGAATCTGTATAGACAAGCTACTCATGCATTGATGATGCATATGACATATACAATAAATTGAATCACCATATTTGATTCTATTCCTTTCTGTACACAACTTGTTCCTGTGCACAGTTCCCCTGAACATCAAGGGAGGGAGGGATAAAGCTTATACAGAAACTCTTCATTAAGCATACCATTTTTCCATCTCTGTTTCCTCGAGAAAGGGATATTTGTAGCATCATATCGGATACTGATGAATCAATTTAACAATCCCAAGTATATATTTATTGCATGAGACAAAATGAAAACACACATAAGGGTCCACGTTCAGTTAAGATAATGTTAAACTCCAAACCATTGGATACCAAATATAACACATTCAGATAGTTTACATTAGGCTCTTGAAAGCTTGTCATCAAGCGATTGTCACTTGCTGTGGACAAATGGCTTGAGTTTGAGCTGAGCCATGCCCTTGGATGACCTGTTTCTTTTCCTGGAAAGAAATGAGATAGCAGCATATTGGTTAATATGTGTTAAACAGTAAAGGGCCATTACACTTATATTAGCAAAGCTAATTGTCAATAGAAACAATGGGTAAAAATTAGTTGTATGGCTACTAACTTGATGGCTCTTTCCACAGCCTGCAAGTCGAGTCTCACTTTCTGAAGATCAGCTTCAAATGACTGGTATAAGAGTAGGAAATAATTCTTCAGTAATGGGATGATAGTTAAAAACATGAAAAAGAAAGCTAAAGACTAAGTGATTGAGGGGGTTCCTTGCATTACCTCAAGCCTGTGTTTGCAGCATCCAAAAAGATTCCCCAGTTAAAAAAAAAAACAAAAAAGAGTTAGTAAACGTTGTAACAAATCCGTGAGAACCCATGATATAGTAGTTATATGCATAAATCAGGGGAAAAAAATTATGTTTTATAGTCCAGAAAGAAGGCCAATGGTGTGGGTGATTTAGGGCTTAGTTTGGGAGTTGAAGATTTGGGCGGAAAGGGAAAGGAAGGGAGAGAAAAATAAAAAAAAGACACTTGTTTGAGAGTTGTTTCATACGAACTCTATCCTTGAATGTTTTCTCAACGAAATTTTCATAACATATGTGTCCGAAATCATTTTGTTTTTTTTTCTAAACTCCTAAATAATATTGAAATCTCTTTCCTTCTCCTCTTTTCTTTTCTTTTCTTTCTTGCATAACTTCACATATCTCTTCTTTTCTTTTCTATCCTAAATTCCCAAACCAAGCCTAAGGGTGGATTGAGGTGGGTAGGGAAAGGGATGGAGAGCAAGAAAAAGTGAGAACCAGGCGAGCGCTGCACAACTGCGACAAATGAGATTCTGCGACAATTTGCTGAGTATCTCCTGCAAATTCAAAAGTACAAAAAAAAAATAAAAAAAAAAAACCCATGAAAAATATGCTATTCTCTAAGTTGTTAAAAATTGACTTATGCAAATGCTCTAGGATCCATTTGATAAGAAATGTAAATTACTAAATTTTATCCTTTACACTGTGATGAACCATGGTGCAAAATGTGAATGAGCAATAGCAATCAGTAGTACATTATTTTGAAAAGTGTGAGAACTAACATTATTTTGTTAACTATCAAAACTCTAGTCTAAGTGCATTAGGTGGTTAATTTGGAGATCTATAATTTTGATAGTTCATTTTATTCAAATCAATTTAGAGATGTCATTTTACCTCACGAAAACTCGTTCCACTCTGGTAGTTGGTGTTGTTAAGGATGCCCCTGTAATTTGAGCTGTAAAAAAAAAAAATCAAAAGGGAACAATAACATTAACGGTAAACAACAAAAAAAAAAAAAAAATAATTGACAGTTAACACTGGGAAACTAAACTCATATGAAGTAGATAAACCTTTTTATCTTACATCATAGACACCATTAAGAATAATTTTCTTCATGTAATTAAGCGCTTTCGATAAACACTTGCAGCCATAATTAATTTTGCCATTTTTAATGTGCATCCAATGCAAGATCTTTACCAGCTACATTAGAAGTTCCTGTATTCCAATTGATGATTGGAGTGAAGATCAAGCTGAGACAGATTATGATTCACGTACTTATAGCTTACAGTAAGAAATTAAATGTGTATGCATGTAATAATCCTAAAATTTTGGTGATTAATTTTTATGATTAATTTTCATTCATGCATGGCTTTATTTTTGTTTTTTAAAGAACAATTTGAAACACTAAATCGACCGGACGACTCGAGCATGTTATGTTTGATGAATTTTCTGCCATTTTAAATGAAACTTGTTAGGAATTAGCAAATTCCAATCGAATTCTCACCTAAATGTGCCAAATAGAGAAAGAGATTGGAAGGAAAAAACAAAAGAAAACTAAAAGAGAATTCAGATCCATAAGGAAGACAAGGAAATAATCTACCTTTTCTTGATCATTGCACTACTTTTGATTTTAATCACCTTTGGAGCCATGATTTTCTAGACCGACGAAAAAGGATTAAGAAGAGAGAATGTGCTAAACCAGAGGATTCAAGGAGGATGAGTGATCAAAACGAGTGACTTGAGTTGAATTTATTAGGGAGTTTTCCTTGTTTATTTTTTTTATGGTTATTTTTTTTTTGCATTCAGCAAATTTGTACATATCTATCTAGTATGACGTTGGATGGCAAGATTAATTTCTTGCATGAACAAAACTTCTGTAAATTTAAGGTCACTTCCAACTACCATTTTTAATGCTAGTTTGCGTACGTCTTCCCCATTGCCCAACTGTAAAATAAAGCATTAATAATGGATAAAAGATATACTGACTCTACTTTTAGTTCTCTTATAAAACTAAGATTTAAGGAAGACTTAGTTTGGATTTTTGAACTGGAATTAGAAGCAAAATCATATAAACTCACTATGAGCTTCATCACACTAAAAAATAGTTCAAGAACATGACATCATTTCAAGAGTGGGATGCTGGACGGTAAAGTTTAGCACTTTTACTGCCATAATATTATAGCAATAGTATAGATTTGTTGTAAGTCTAATAGACAATCATGAACTTCATACATCCAAACTATATACACCTAGAGGACTATCAAATTCTCTAACCCTTTTAGTCATCTTTATCTTTCATTAATTGTCTTTCTTTAAGACAAAATTTTCTCACCAATTTATAACATAGCTAGGAGGAAACCTAAGGAAGGAAACACCTTGATTCAATTATGAGTTCTCAAGCAATTTAAGGAAGATCAATTTATGGAAACTCTTGGCCACCTATTTTTCTTGTGTCCATATTCCAGCTATGTGTGGGAACAAGTGCAACAAAAGTGTTTGATTTACAGGCAGACTCTTGAGTGGGATAGAGAATTGCAATGGATGATCATGCATTGCTCTCAGCAAAACTATGTTTCTCAAGTTAAAAGGATGACATTTGCAGCCAGTGTGTATCACTTGTGGTGGAGCAGGAATCAAATCAACAGGTGTTTAAGAAAACATTGCATTCTCCTGAGTATATAGTTCATATGATTCTTAAGGATGTTCGAGACCTAATAATAGGATGGAAAAATATGGATAGAAAGCAGGAAAATTTATAGCTATGCACTGAACTTGATATTCCTTTGCATCATTGATATTCCTTTACTAATAAAATTTTTAGTAAATACCTTCCTATGAAACATTTTGTATATCATGATTGGGGCATGCATTTAGAATGGTACAACCTTCATCTTTGTAACCTTTTTCAAGGAAAAAAAATCAACAATTCAGAATTCAAACTCAAAAAGACCAAAAATTAAAAAAATTATTTAATTTAAAAGACCAATATTAGAACCGATTCAACGCAAGGACCATAACCATAATAATCTTACTCATATTGTGTAATATATATATATATATAAAACGTTTTACCTTATTTTGCAAATGGAATTCCAATCATCTTTCCTTTCAATTTAGATGTAATTTCATAAAAAAAAAAAATCAATAGAAAACACAAAACAATTAAGCATGTCAAGCTAATTGAAAGTTGTCCCAACTCTTAAAATTTGTCTTAACAATAATGTATGGTATTTTAACACATAAACTGAAGCTTAACTAACTATTTTGTCCAATCCTCTACATAAATAATTCGAGAAAGAAGATGAAAAGATGTATAATTCAAGTTCGTTTTTGAAATTTCTAAGCATTATGCCAAACAAGTTAGCTATCAAAATCCAAGTTGAAATTCTCATCAATGAGTAAGTCGCCTGACT